GAATAACAGCCTTCGCCCCCCCCTTTTTGGGTGGTGTCAGAGGGCATGGTTTATCGCTCAGACAACGCGCAATTTTTCGTTTTAATAACAATATTTACTCATCATAAAGTATAAATGAAGGCATAATGTGTTGACGTGATATATATACAGATATCCGCATGTATTTATGTCTGTATCTGCATCTGTGGCTGTAGCTGTATCTGTATCTGTGCGATATGATGAGAGTAACGCTTACGGGCGGCGGCCCCATGGGGGGCGTTGACGAAAAATTTCACGACTGTTTCAACATTTTTCCGGTTTCAAGGTTTTTCATGCCCTTGAAAATGGGGTAGAACGACTTTGGAGAGGTGTTTGCAGGGCAAAGATCCTTAAAGATTCGAGTAACGGACTTTGTATCTCAATTAAGTCTTATCGGAATGAACAAGGGATCTGTTCAGCGGAAGAGTATTTCAACCTTCGGCTCTGGAATCTTTCTTATCTTTGGTATTTCCTTTTTTTTTTGGTGCCGGGACCCATTTGTGTCGTTGTCTATGAGGACGTCACTTCAGTTGACACACAAAATGACAATATTTACCGGGGGAAGATGGAGAATTTGGGCGCACGGAGGGGGCTACTGGGTGCGGAAAATATTGGAAATTCAAATAAACAGAGAGGAGGCGCGAAAACAGCAGCCGATGCCAATCCCCCACCAAGCCCCACAATCAACAAAACGTGCGACACGTGCAGACTGTCAAATGGCGCTGGATGGCGCCACCCCAGCCCGTAACCGGGGGAAAGTCAAATACCCATTCCCAATCCCTCAGACAGTTGCCGCCCCTCCGGCCAGCCTCCCCCTCCAACAGCCACTGCCATCTACCACGCCCTCCCTCCGACAGCCTCCAGCAGCAGGCTACCCCCCCCCCCCCCCCCCCGCCCCCCTTTGCGGCCCGCCCGCCCATCAATCAATGGGTCTTAGTCGATTTCTGTTGGCAACGTTTAACGGGGCGTATGCGCAATTAATGCGATTTGTTCGCAGGAGAGGGAGAGAGAGAGAGAGAACACTTTAACACTCGAGGAATTTGTTGTACGAAAAGCTAAGAAACGAGAGCTTTCCATTGAAGAACTCGTGAATTTTCTGCTCTAATTGCATTTTGCGAAAGTTGTATTTAAAGCTGCAAAAGTCGCCATAATTATCGAGATAATTGCGCACGCATCGTTAATTGGAGTCGAATAAATGGTGGACGGAGGGGAGGGGGGGGGGATGAGCGGAAAATGTGAGATAAGTGAGGAAAAGTGAGGAAAAGTGTCGATTATAATGAGCCAACTAACCGCAAATTGGTCTAGATTTGGTCGGTAATTATCAAGAACAAAAGAGGGGCAAACCAACGAGCGAAAAGAAAGAACAGGAGACGCCCCCATTGGGAGGCCCCACAAATCATCATTGGGCCTGTCAATGTCCCCAAAAAGTAAACACAAATCATCGCCACAGCAAATCGAAAGTTTATTCAACTCTAAGCGAAAGTGAATATGAATATGAATGTGAATACGAATAAGTGTTTCGGCTATGGCAATGTATATTATAACAAATGTCCGATTAAATCAACATCAATAACTCACTTATGGCACTCGAAACCAAAACCGCAGAGCACCCAAATCCCCTCCCTTCCTCCGACGATTTTCCGGGCAGAACAGAACAAAGTTAACCGAATTGTTATTAATTTTATAGACATTTGGTGCGTGTTTTGCGTGTGCGTGTCGGAACACATTGGAACCTGCCAGACAACAGCTCTCTGAGGTGGTGCCCCTGACCTCAGACGCGGTCTCTAGACAATGTCTAAGTGAGGAGTGGATGACAGACAGGCAGGAGGCAGCGTCGTCTGGAGGACGGGAGGACGGGAGGCCTGTGAGGCAACAATGCGTAACAAAACAGGAAAGCAATAACAATTTGCAATTAGCCAAAACGCGTGGGGGACGCAACTTTATTTTCGACACTGTGATAGTAAGCCAGTGGGGGTGTTGGGGGGTGTTTGGGGGGCGGACAAGGTCAAGGCATCAGCGCAGAAAATTAAAGTGGAAGATGATGATCTGCCTGCCAGCGAGGGCTGACGTGGGAGTCTATAGAGAAACCGAAAGGAAAGGACTTATAGAGGAAGAGATACAGCTAAAAATGAAGCACATTCGGCGCTAGGATTAGGCAGAAGATACATTCCAACGATCTACTGAAGAGGAAGTATTATGCGAAACTTTATCCCGTTTAATTTCGACTTGAAACTTGCCCCAAAAATATATATCTTCTGCCCGACTTACGCTTTCCGCCAGTCCCAGCCATGACTCTTCCCGCAGACCTTTCCCCAGAGCAGGCCGTCGCTTCTTAAGCAGTTTAGCATTAATTAAGTTTGAGTTGAAGTCGCAGACATTTGCCTGTAGAGGGGGGTAGGGTGGAGGGGTGGGGCAACTGTCTGTCTGCTTGCCAAGTGATAAGCTGAACCAGCCCACGTCCTAAACCAAAGGGGAGCTGAAAGTCTCGCCTAACTAATTGCTGCCTTTTAACACTTGGCCAAATGCGCTGCTGCCTCGGTGTGCATTTCCTGGCCAGACCCAGACAGAGGCCCCCCCCCAGCCCTTAGCTGGATGATTAACTGCATCAGGCATTGGTCTAAAGTGCAGAGCTACAGGAACTAAGGGAGCTACGAGAACTAAGGTGGTGTTTGCTTTTATCAGCCATCATCAGTTTTTTGCTTTGTCGCGTTATGCGTCAGCGCACTAAACCAACATTTTTACACCTAAGAGCAGATAAAGAGCAGAGCGGAGCAGAGCGGGGCAGAGCGGAGCAGGGCAATGGCAAAGTACGGTACGGCTGACTGGCTGGCGGACAGCATTTAACAGTTGATTAGACCGCGTACCCTCGTGGAGGAGGGACGTGACAGCCCCCGCCTCAGTAGAGAGTGGGGATGGTACGTCTGCCGCTCGCATTTTCGGCCTGAATGGACGCGAGACATGGCTAAGCGTATTACCAGGCCGCATTACCGTTAAGTTTACAGTTTAACTATAAAAGCGACTGCGAGGGCCGGAGAACGAAGGCGCCCCCCCCACGATCCATTAGCCGATATTACGCATACGCCGCGTGGTGTCCATAAAAAATGCAACGCTGCATTGTTTAGCAAACAGAACACAGGAACAACAACCTACATAAAATTCTAGAAAAATGTAGAAAAAAATAATAGAAATGCGAAAGTAGCCGCCAGAGCAGGGCAGGAGGGGGCAGGGGCAGGGCAACATTCTTTTTACGTGCCGGGGCATGCAAAGTGCAAAGCTGCCAACTGCATCTATGATGATGATGATGATGATGATGATGATGACGGCAATGGAGGCGCCTCGGCAAAGCGCAGCTGGTTTCCCAGCATTTGAGCCCCCCCATCCATCCATATTGATGGGCAAACACGGAATGCATTTTATGATGAACACGAAAATTCATGAATTGCTCTCGCTTTGTTTTTTTGGGGCCAAAAACACAGATATCTACATATTTATGGCCATACATTTGGCTACGAAAATGCACGAATGTGAAAGAGAATAATTTAAAATTGAAGAAGATTTTGTATCTGCAATATTTTCATTCAATTTATGTTGTTGGGGGCTTGAATCAAATCTAATTTGAGATTATTTATTTCAATTGAATGGCTTTTGTGCCCCCCAAATGATACGCTAATCTCGACCAGACATCTCCTGTTAACAAATCGCCGGGGAAGTCCACCAAATGATTGCTCATTCTTCGTGGAGTGCTCCTTTTTGTTGGCTTTTAGTCGTCGCAATGCAGCCAAAAGGCTGGAAGGCTGGCAGGCTGGAAGGAAGGAAGGAAGGAAGGAAGGAAGAGAAATGGAATTGAAAAGCAATACAAATCCACAAATCAAAATATATCTGAAATGTTTGAAGGGATGGTTCGTGGGGCGGGGGGTAGGGGGGTTCGACTTATGGGGCGGCTTGCTGTCGTTTATTCTGTGGCAATGACATGCGACAAAGTTGCAGCTGAAATGGATCCATAGATGGAAATGGAAATGGAAGCCCCCTACCCATCCCCTGCCTCTATGGCTCCCCTTTCGCTGTATCTAATGACAGTAGCAGAAACCAGAAACAGAACAGATCCCAGACAATGCAAGACGAAGCTCTGAGGCGGCTCTGAGGCCAGTGCCAAGAACCCCGACAACTTTAGCTCCCTTTGTCGTTTGTTCACCCTGCTCTGCCCCGCCCCTCTTGCCCTCTTGCCCTGTGCCTCTTGGCCAAAAGCTGCCAAAAAATGTTTGCTCTAGAGATTTCTACACATTTATTAAAGAGAAATGGAGAGAGAGAGAGAGAGAGGGAGAGAGATGGGGACAATGCAGGCAGCCTATGGCTGGGGGGTACGGGGCGTATGGGTTGGATATTAATCATCGGGCAGACTTAAATTGCAAATGAAATCGGAATTGGGCAACGGTGCGTATGCGTATCGTAGTGGAGTAGTTCGAGAGGCGGAGAGGGAGAGGGAGATGTGGAGAGTGCCACAGGGGTGAGGGAAATTGGCAGACTCTGTCAAGCATTTTGTTGGCTGCAGCAAACACACACACACACACATACACACACATTTCCATATACATATACGTACAGATATACACAGAGATCCAGAGTCAGAGCAAAAGAGAGATATCCATTAAACAAACACAGTGAAATCGCCGCTGACATAAAGCAGCCATGACTGTCCCCGTTCCCGTTCCCGTGCCCCCAGCCATCCCGTTCCCAGCCATGTCCTGGCCATGTCCTGGCGTTGTCTCTGTCTCGATGTCGCCTCGCTGGCGCCAACTGTCGACTGCTTTAGCATTTGCCTTCAAGCTTTACATACACCACGCCACACCACACCACACACACATATGAATATACATATATATATATACTGTATCTGTATCTGTATCTGTATCATCAGCATATTGCCATTTGTTGAAGCATTCTTTAAATAATTTTATCCACCATCACTCTTGTGCTCTTTGCAGGTCCCGCAACCGTTCAAATGGTTTCCCAGAGTCGACCGCCGCCACCGATGACGGTGCCCGTCCAGGTGCCGCAGTACGTCAGCGAGAACGGGACTGTGACCCACGTGATGCTGTCGCCGCAGCAGTACCAACAGCTCCATCCCGGACAGGGACACCTCCATCCACAGCCATTTGTAAGTACCACCCACAGCCACACCCACTAGAGTTAGCCTTTAAGTGTAATTAACTTGTGGTTTATCGCATGAAAAGAGTACAGAAATCTAGGCTTTAAACAAACTAGTTCTGGGACCATTGGGCTCTGTATAATTGATTGGTTTTCTATGCTTCCATTGACCCCATTTTGCTTCTGTTTTAATGAAAGTATTTATTTAATGAATACACATCGATAAGCATCAGCTGGCTTCATAAATTTTCATGAACTTTCCGAAGCTGTGTTCATAAATTCTGTTTAAAATTGATTATAATTTATGAACGCACCTTCATACATTTTCAATGACTGGCAACAGAAGTTTCGCAACTTTCTGGAGATTTTTGTAAGCTATTCAAAAATTCAATTCAATAATTGCCAATGTTCAAACAAAGCAACTTTTAAGTACAAGTATTTCAAAGAAGAATGAAATTTTGTTCTCTTTGCCAGAGGATTATTTAAAGAACTATTCAGAGTGCCCATTCAATACTTTGTTTCGTGCCACACGCGGTCTGGTATATTTCAAATTTTGATAAATGAAAAATGTAGGCTGTAAGAGATACATTGTTTCTTTGGCAGCCCATCAAAATGTGCGATATATTGGCTATCTGTCGCCGTTTCGATTGCCAATTGATTCCCCGACTTCCCGACGGCCCAGGGCAGCTTATCAATTGATTTACAGCTAATTGAGCGAACAATATTGCAATCAGCGAATCCGCATGCGAATGCGAATGCAACAACAATTATTCCCCGATGCTAATTCGATTTTCAAGTGAAATTTTCATGGGGGCGAGCCGAGAGTCGTCGTCGTCGTCTGGTAATATAATTTATTGTGCACCGGATCGGATCCGGGTAAAGTTGTTCCTAGAAAACAATTCAATTGCATGGGCCCGATACAAAAGGAGGAGACTCTGTGTTTATGCCAGAACAGAACCCAGCAAAACAATGGAAACAGTACGCCCCGCAAATGACGGACGGACGATCTAAAATGGCTAAACTTTTAGCTAAATGCCAATTACAAAATGCAACAACTATTAATATAAAGTTTAAGCAAAACAAAAACACAAAAATGAAATGGAAATGGAAGTGGAAAAACAGCTGGCAAGCTGTCGGCCGACAACGCTTTGCATCTATAATTTATTTATTTATTGGATAGTTAGTTTATAAACTGCAATTTCGCTTTGTTTGCCTATCGTGCTCCCACATCTACGAGTATTGTGTTTGTGTTTGCGTTTTGGTGTTGTGTTTGCCTTTCTCCATAAGCATTTGCGCTGACTAACTCTGACTCGGGCAGAGCCCCCGGGGCGGGGGGGGAAAAGCGTGAAAATTGCATAACTAATTAGCTGCTCGCATTAGTCCAATTGCGGCCCAGTGAGTGAGTCACCCATTTGTCCTCTCCGGCAAATATTTGAATATGCAGTGCCACAAAAAATGCACTCACCGCCTGCTCTGCCGCTCGTTTCGCAATCTGTCATTTAGGCGTGAGCTTTGACAATCATTCGACTGTGGGGGCCTACGAAGATGTTTGCTTTGAATGCTAATTGCCGGTTGGGGCTTGGGTGGGGTACGCGGCCGGAGGGGCCAAGCCGAACAAAGTTTGTTGTTTGCCCAGGGTTCATTTCAAAACAAAGTTCAAAGTGGCTTCAAGTTTCTTAGAAAACTGTATATATTATTGGGGTTTTATGTGCCTTTTTTAAATACATTTCTTTGAATTTACATGATTTTCTTCGAATTTTATGGCTACCAGGCTACCCAAAGATCTTTATAATCCAATATGTTCATACATTTTTCAGTATTTTTTTCCACATTTCTCTGAAACAATTATCCCAGAAAATGTAAACGCTTTCAATAATAGACAAATTACATTGTAGTTCCTCTTGAAATGTTACAAATTGCTGGCATTTCAAATCATCGTTAAATTTAGCTTTATTATATGTAGTTTTGCCTCCATTAGCATTACCATTCGGAACTAGTTCGGCTCCCATGAGATCGGCGGCATCAGAGGCACATGCATTCCATTCAAATTGGCTCGCTAATTTGCAAAAAAAAAAAAACAAGAAAAAAGAAAATAAAAGATGGTTGTTAACCAAAGCAGATGAGCGTTACCCATTCACATCACGTTTCGGACCACTCCTGCCTCTGCCACTGCCACTGCGGTCCACTTATGTCTAATAATTTAATAATAACAATTTCATTGTACAACATAAACATTCCCATCATTTCTTTTATGTGCAGAAAGTTGTTAACAGAATTTTGATTGAAATATTTTCCATTTCCATTGCGGAAAAACGAGATAGATGATGCTTGAATAGAGAGGGAATAGAGAGGCTCTGCTAATTCTACGAGTTCGTGACTCGGCCCGCAGTCTCTAAATTGGCATTCCGGTTCTGGCTTAGCGCCTAGCGCAATTTAAATTCTATTACCCAACGCTGCTCTCCCTCTCCCTCAACCACCCCCAACCCCACCCCCCACCTGTACCGCCTGACGTTATTTATTATAATATTATCAATCTCTCAATTAAAAAAGATATTAATTGCATTCAGAGGATTATATAATTTGCAATGATTACCCGCTTTCCGCTTTCCGGTTATGCTCTGAAGCAATCGTTGACACTTTTGGGTTGATTTATATTATTTGAGCAGAAAAATCAAACAGTAACAGTTTTCCCCAATAAACATAAATTACAGAGAAAAGAAGAGAAGCAGACAATTAAAGCGACAGTCAGAGCATAAAAAAGGCATTTATTTTTAGGGGTTAATAAATTGAAAACGTAATTATCAAGAGATTCCACGTTGGATTTCCCAGCAGCCAGCTAACTGTTGTGCTGCCAGGGGGGCCTGGGCTGTGGGCTGTGGGCTGTGGCAGGGTTGCCAACGCGAACTGTCAACCCGAGAAGACAAACGTTTACCTTTAAACAATTTCGATTTGCATAACAATTTGTAGAGCCAGGCTAATGGTTGTTGCTGTTGTTTTATCTGGTAAATGCAATCCATTACGAGTAAATGCTGTGCCTGTGGCTGTGGCTGGCTGGCTGGTCGTGCCCGCTGCTGGCAACGGGCAGCGGGCATCGGGCAACATTGTTGCCCATAGGTTAGGCTCCAAACTCCATACCCATTCGCCGCTCGATGACTTTTAATTGAACTCCACTTGAGTTGAACTTTTGCTTGTCACATTTTTACATAACTTGCCAGTCAGCAGTTGCAGCTTCAGCCTCAGCCAGGCTCTGTCTCTAAGTCTGTCTCTGGCTCTCTTAATGCCATTTTGACAGTGGAAAACTTGATTAATGCATGCAGCGCCAACAACTTCATCCGTTGCTGCCGGTTGTGGTTGGTGCAGCTTCGGACACATGTGGCGTCGTCACGGTTTGTTGCTGAAATGAAAGTGCCCGGCGGTTGCTTGACTCGAGCTGAATTTTCCTTGACTTAATTAACAATTTGCTGCCACAACACACACACACACAGAGACACACACACACTCGCAGAGATATTCGCACAGCACAGTGCCGCACAAAATGGAAGTTTCCGCTTGTGTGTTTATGTTGAAATGTTTATAATTTGATTGTATGCTAATTTACATAGCATAGTCGGATAGTCTCCATCTGCGGAATCGCATTGCCATTATGCAACTTGAGCTATGCGCTCGGATAACTGTAACTGTCGCACCATATCCGTAGGAGAAGCTCCAACTGAAACCGAAACTCTGTGCCACAGAGCGCTCTGTAACTCCCTCGCCGAATGAGTTTTCATCTCCACGTTTTTTTTTTTTCTCTTTTGTGTGTGTTAATCCCGCCACTTCTTTTGTTCTCTCAGCTATGCTGTTTCCGTTGCTGGCCCGCGAACAACAACAGAAAAAGAAGAAACTCATTAACTTTGACCCATATTTGTGGCCTGGGCGGCTTTTTAATATTTTATGATCATCCATAATAACCGTGCAGCATCGGCCATTTTGGGCCGAGCGCGAGCCAAGTGCCAACAATTAGGTGCAAAATGCTTTAAAGTCGTCAAATATATTGCGCAAGTTGCACGCAACTTTGGACATGCAAAAAACCTGAAATTAGCTTGATTTCAGTGAAGCATTCATTTTCCTCAGTTTTGCGCAAAAAAATTATCAATCATCAGGCATCTGGGGGTAATTTTTGCTTAATACAGCATGCGGGCGTGGATAATTGCCAGTGCCCATAAACAGCGAAACCAATTTAGTTAATGATTCGCTGTGGAAATCAGATCAGACTGGAATTTAGTTCAAATTTTACTTTCAAACGGGCGCGCCAAACAGACAGCGCTGAGTAGAAGCTGCTTGCTATGAAATTCAACGCTGCACTGCTTGTTAATAAGACACTCACCCGTTTTTTTGGTTGTTATGTGCCACTTACGTTTTGTTTCGCTAATCTTGCAGAAACTTTATTCACCAATCGCATAAAAACATACATATGTTCGTTGCTGAGGGTACTCAACCGAACATAAACCTCGAGGACTATAATTTCCGATCATGGACAGATACCGATTAACCCATTTTCGACCAGTGGTTATATTAATGCACTAAACGAAAAATCTTGAATAATTTTAGTGCAGCTCTAACTAAATCTACATAAACAAACAGTATTATTTTCCACAGCTTAACTGAAATTCCTTAACTGCTTAAATAGGGGGAGGCTTAGTAGGTTAATTCGGTGTTTTCATCGGTATATTTACAGTATATTTCTGAGAGTCAGACGGTATATGTTATCTGGTCACACTGGAGAGCAACAACAGCAAAAACTAATTTAAAAAATTACAAATATTCGTTTACATGTTGTTGTATTCAGTATTTTTCAAACTTCAAATATTAACTGATTGTGGAAAACATTTTGCGCCAGCTGACAAAGATTTTGCGCGCTGTCCTACCAATTTCCAGTGCAATTTTCGCTAGAAACTTCTACCTGCGCTGATAACATTCCGCAAATTAATTAGTTATTGTTATCAGCGCTCTCTCTCCGTACCACGAATGTTATTTATAGACGACTTGTAGATGTTGACGTGGTAGTTCTTGGCCAGCCATTAGTTGGGATGGGGAAAATGGAGCAGCAACAGCCGGACAAGAAGAAAAAAACGACAACCACATCATCGACCACAAGCAGTTCCAGAACTGTTGTGGTTAAAGTATTTACCTACTGAAAAGCCTCCGTTTTGAGCACTTATTAAACATTTTACATTGATGTCCCACTCCACAGATAAGCGCCAATGGTACATCGCATTTCTATACGCCGGCCATGGCCGGCTATCCACCAGGTCCTGCTGGCAACGGACCACCGCACTATCATCTGCAGCAGCCACAGGGTGCACCGCAGCAGCCACCGCCCAGCGTGGGAGGCGGAGGGGGACCGCCGCCACCTGTGAATGCTGCACAGCAGCAGCCGCCGCCAGTCCACACACATTCCCCGCACTCGCCGTCGCCGCCCAACTATCGGGATGAGCGCAGCCAGAGGCAGCATACGAAGCTGCTGCGGAAGCTGGAGAAGCAGAGGGAGTCCAGTGAGTGTCCTGTCCCAGCTCTTGAAGTGATTTCCCCATACTAAAGTGTTTCTCTTTCAGATCCCGCCTTGTCCACGCCCACACATTCGCCTTCGCTGAGGGGTGTCAACGATCTGAATGGCCATCACACCAACAACAACAACATTCCGGTGGGTGTATTGCCCCTGCCACCGCACCTCAACAATCATCATCACATGAACAACAACAGCCACTTGCACAACAACAACAATCATGTGCGTCGCCTCGCGCAGCAGCAGCTGCAGCAACAACAGCAACAGCAGCAGCCGCAGCCGCTGACGCAGAGGAACGGCAATCCCAATGTCACGCAAGGACCAGCCACGCCCCTGCCCCAGCGAACGGGCAGCAGTGTGGGCGGCGCCAGTTCGGTGGGCACATCGGAGGATGGCGAAGACAACTCCAGTCTGGCCGGAGAGGATGAGGAAGACTACCAGTCGACGATTGTGGAGCAAATATCGGCGATTGAGAAGCCCGAGGTGATTGACGTGACCTCGAAGGCAGCGAAGATCATCTGGGAGTCGCCCGTCATCACCGATGCCTTGCTCATCAATATGCACGAGCTGCACTACCAGGTCCTGCTCAGCGACTCGGGCAAACAGTGCAAATACAAGAGTCTCTATCGAGGCGAGGCCCACGAATGCATTGTCCAGGATCTGCAGCCGGGACAGGACTATCTGGTGCGGCTGCAAGTCCACTACCAGAAGCTGCAGGGCACCGTCAGCGAGCCGACAGAGTTCCGAACGCCAGCCTGCGAGCCGGAGCCGCCGCTGCCCCCCAAACTGGTGTCGCGCACCAAGAGCTCCATTAATCTACGCTGGGCTGCACCGCCTGCGAATGGCGCAACCATTCAGCACTATCTGCTGGAGTACGACGAGGGCAAGGGCCAGCCGCTCAAGTTCGTGGAACTGGCCAAGATCAAGGCCAAGCACTATGTGATCAGCAAGCTGCAGGCCACGACTGTCTACAGCTTCCGCCTGGCCGCCGTCAACGAGGTGGGCAAGTCCCCGTACTCGCCCATCAGCAGCTACAGCACCGCGGGCAATCCCCCGGCCGTGCCCAAGCCCCCGCAGCTGCACTCGAGCAGCCCCAGCTCGCTGAAGCTGTTCTGGGAGAGGCGCACCCAGGACGGGGACTTCCTGCTGCAGCTGCAGGATGCAGAGTCCGGACACGGCTACCTGAACACCTACAAGGGTACCGATCTCCACTACGAGTGCCTGCAGCTGCGCCGGGCGTGCAGCTACCAGTTCCGTCTCCGATCCGAGAACGAGGCCGGAGTCTCGCCCTGGTCGCCAGAGGTCAGCTACCGAACGGCCGCCGAGCGTCCGGGCAGGCCGGGCAAGCCGAGTGCCAAGGGCAAGATCCATGGCACCCACTTCAAGGCGCGCTGGGACACGCCCTCGGACACCGGCGGAGCGAGCATACTTCGCTACCATCTGGAGCTGAGTTCGGGGTCCGTTTTCGAGCGCATCTACAGCGGCTCCGAGTCGGAGGCCATGTGCGAGCGCCTCCAGCCGGGGACCACCTATCAGCTGCGTGCCTGCTGCGAGGGTCCCGCCGGCCAAAGTCCGTTCTCGGACATCGGACATGTCACCACAGAGGCTGTGGCCCCGGCGGCCCCGCCTCCGCCGTACTCCAGTGACCCGCCCTCGCCGTATGCAGCCCTCCTGAAGCTCCTCCAGCCGGACTACAATGGCGGCGCCCCCATCCTAGAGTTTGAGGTTCAAATGCGCCGCTTGGAGCAGGTGCAGCCACCCCACATCGTGTACAGAGGCAAGCAGGCGTACTTCGTGGCCCAGGATCTGGTGCCGGGCGGCATGTACGAGGTGCAAGTGCGAGCCATCAATCGCATCGGAGCCGGCAACTGGTCCCAGTGGATGAAATTCACAGCCGCAGCAGCCGCACCTGGCGTACCCGAGGAGCTGCGAGTGCTGGTCAAGTCGGCCACCCATCTGAGTGTGAGCTGGCAGGCGCCGCTCCACGAGAACGGAGCCCCAGTCACCAACTACATCCTGAAAAGTGCCAGCCAAGAGAAGCGCAGCGAGGAGCAGGATCAGGACCAGGAGCCCCCGAGAGAGCCACCCAGCACGGAGTTCCACAACTGCTACCAGGGAGCACAGACGTGTGCCGAACTGAGGAACCTCGCGCCCTTCACACGCTACTTCTTCCGCATCCTGGCCAGCAATGCCGCCGGCTCTGGCTCCGCCTCGGAGGTGGTGAGCGTGAGCACCCCGGCCGCCGTGCCCGGCGCCCCCCAAATGCAGGGATACGAGTTCACCGCCCAGGAGGTGACCCTCAACTGGACCCAGCCGGCGGCGCACGGCTCTCCCATCTGCTCGTACAACATCGAGTACGGAGAGCGGACCATTGCCACACCGGATGCGTGCACCCGGTACACAGTGACGGGCCTGATGCCCGAGACCAGCTACAAGTTCCGCGTCCAGGCCGTGAACGCCATCGGAGCCGGAGCATTCAGTGCCTATGCGAAGCTGACCACGCAGCCGGCGCCACCAGCTCCACCGCGGCTCGAGTGCAGCGGAGCGGGCCACAACTACATCAAACTGAAGTGGGGCGAGGGCGGACCGGGCGGCAAGACCAATGGAGCCGCTGCCGGCGGAGGCGCCGACTTCACCAAGTACTTTGTGGAGATGTACGTGACCCGGGCGAAGCAGTTCCAGGCCGTCTACTCCGGCACCAATTGCATGTGCAAGGTGCACAAGCTGCAGGAGCGCAGCAGCTACACCTTCCGCATCTACGCCCACACGGACAGGGCTGGAGACGGCGACTACTCCGAGGACTACGTGTTCGAGACGAGCGCCACGCTGCCGGCCAACATCAAGCCGCCGCGTGTGGTGCACGAGAACAGCGTGTGCCTGATGGACCTGCCCGGCCAGTTGGGCATGCAGCTGACCCTCGAGTGGCAGCACTCGAAGAACTCCTTCCACGACCGAGTCGAGTACGAGCTGCAGTACGCGGTCCTGGGAGCCGCCGAGCTGGAAACGGAGACGCCCAAGGGACGCAGCAGCAGCTCCAGCGGCAGCGCCAGCGGAGCTCCCCTCAATCTGGCCAACCAGGACTACCGTCAGCTGTACCGCGGCCCCGAGACCAAGTTCACCATCGACAATCTAGCCGCGGGTACCTGCTACCAGTTCCGCGTGTGTCCCGTGCGGATAGCCTCCGGCGGAGAGCTGCTCTACGGGCAGCCGTCGAGTCCGCTGCGGTATCAGGTGCCCAGCGAGCTGGATCCCAGCTCGGCCACCTGCCACCACCTGCATGGCTCCACGTCCCCCAATACGGCCACACACTCGCAGCGCAGCAGCCGGAAGCTGTCGGCGGGCAATGGCTCCACCAATGGCCTGCACCTGAGGTCCGTAAGTGCCTCGGCCATCAGTGGCTGCAGCGGCGTGGGAGCCGATCCCCTCGCCATTGGCCGGCTGCAGCAGGAGCTGTCGAGCTTCAACGCCTGCGGCGATCCACTGCGTCATCATCATGGAAATGAATCCGCAATGAGATGTGGTATGTACACCCACCATGCAGCAGGCAGCAGTACCCAGTGCGGGTCTGGAAATACTTACAACGTCCATTAATTTGCATTTATTTCTGTTTCGAATGTAGAAATGGCTCACTTTCACCATCATCACCATCAACCGTGCGGCGGAGATGGCAACGCTTCGTCTGGCTCCTCCACGGCGGGCTCCAGCTGCGCCGGCTCCAATCTCCTTCTGCGCGGCAACCACATGCATCACACGCACCATATGCACCACTCCCATCACATGCACCATGCCCATCATCCGCACGGCGGCGGTGGCGTCGGTGCCATCAGCGGGAGCTCCTCCACGGCCATCTCCGCAAGACTGGCCAGCCAGGGCGGCACCCTGCGTCGCTTTGCGGCCAAGATGACGTCGCTCTACTGCAATCGGAAGCGGCTGAGCGACCAGCAGAAGGCCGTCTGCATTGTGGTTTCATTCCTGTTTGTCACCATCCTGGCGGCGATGCTGGTCAACATGCTGCGCGGCTAATGGTGCCCTCGCCCTCCAACTGGAACATGCAACACGCGACATGCAAATCGAAAACTGAAAGAAGAGTAAGGAAAATGATAAAAAACTAAAAAAAAAGAAAAACAAATGCACTTTATGTCTCAAAGAAGTGATTCAAACAATTAGTTGTAATTATGTATTTTTTATATAAACAAAATCAAAAGAAATCAAATTGTAAATTGTCTAATTTTAAAGAAACAAAACAAGCAACTAACCAGCAGAATAAGAACAGGAAAACCTAGAAGAAAAACACACAATAAACTGTATTTAAATGTACACAAAAAAAAACGAAACTAATACATTCACACGTCTCGTCTAAATGTTTGTAAATGTTACAATAATGGTATTTACTTACGAGTATATGTAATATTTGTTGTTGCTAAAATCATTGTCACAAAACAAAACGAAACGAAAGAAAAGGAAAAGCTAAAGTAAAAGCAAAAGAATAATCTCCATATGTGCTATATAAAGAACTTTGTAAACCCCCCTCTGTAAGGCTCACGAGTACTTGTCAAACCTGTTCTGAAATGCTTCTCAAACTGTTCATTTTTTGAGCGTATGCAGGCAGCTTTGGCAAGACATTTGCTATATTTGCATTTGCTCGGCGACGTGTAAAACTAGCATTTGGTGGCGTGCCCCAGCGCTCAGAAATACTTATACATTCTTGAACCACATCCGAATTTTGAAACCAAGTCAGACACACCATAGGATTGTAAATAATATATGTATCAGGCTACATCCAACTAGAAAAGAAACTGAATATTCCAATGAAGGTGGTATAGGGGGCCGCAAAGATAGTAGAGCAAATGCAAAACGATTTAAAAACGAAATATATGAATTTATTAGACTACCAGCAAACAAGTATTTCCGTGCTGTACAATTGTTTCCCCAAAATATATGCATATATATATATATACACACTTGCATAGATATATAAATGTATATGTAAACGGCAGACGCTTCTTTTCATTCTCACAAACCAACAACCTTTTTATACGAATTATTACACAATTTATTACGATAAACATTTAATACATATTCAAAGGACAACCACAAGAGGAGGAAAGAGGGAGAACCAAGGCAGATGCCCAGTTGGGGCTGCTATATCGTGGCTAATTGTTGCATTTTTCACAACCGACTAAACAAATTGAATCCAAAATTGGTTTTGTAGGCTTGTCCACAGCTATGGCAGTCCCAACTGGGCAAAAAGGTCTTCAAAATCTATATAAATATATACATATACATAAATAAATATACATATATTTTTTACACAAAAACATTTAAATATATATACATATACATATATGTATTGTATGTATGTATAGTATAGTATATGATGATGGGGAAAACGAGAGGAAAATGAAAACGAAAAATTATTTAGTATATATGAATATATATGAAATTTATAGCCTAATTAATGCAACGCAAAGTGATTTATATTCCAATTATTATTATTTTTCTAATTAAATAAATTAAAATAAATGTAATTGTTTCTTTCCATAGCATTTAATGTGAATTATACAAAAACGGAATCTTATCTACAAAAAATCACAAACAAAAATCCCAAAAAAAATAAAACAAAAACAAAAACAAATGTTTGTTCATGTAAAAAATACAAATTTGCTTGATGCAAGTTAAAAAAAAAACACCAGATATACATATATATATATATATAAATAAATAAACTTAAATCGGAATCAAATGATAAATAAATGGAAATTATGTATGTTTCTATGTTTACAACGGTAAATGGTTACAATATATATTATATATGTGTGTATGAACGAAAAATACAACAATATACATGTATATTATTTTGTTTTTTACATAAATAAAAAAAAAAGAATGAACAATGAGGGACAAACGCGGAAACACGGAGAGAATGCCGAAAAAATATTTCTAATTATATACCTATGTGTCGATTTATTTGTTTATCTCATATAAATGACGGGACGACAACGCAACATTACAACAACAACAACAGCAACAAAAATAAATGAAACAAAAAAATCTATATACATATACATATATGTATGTATATATATATGAATATATATATAAAATTTATTTGCAAATATATATATATATGAAACATTTAAAATAAATGCGATATACAAATAATAAACATGCAGCTTGTGTTGTTAATGACCGGAAGTGGGGTTTGACTTTCACCTTGATTTGGGAAGAAATCACACTTGGATAAACAGATAAACTGAATCTCAGAGATGCCCATGCCTTAATCTTCCTAATTGTGTCTGAGAAATCTTACAGCCAATGAAAGAAGAGTTTCTATTCCTTGATTCTGATGTTGAATCTGGAGTTTGAGCGGAGTCGGAGGAGTCTCCACTCGTGACGCTGTGACACTAGCCCTACCCTAAATATGTCGACGGCATTTAGGATACATCCACTACAAGTTCCATCAGTATCTGATCTATTAAACTTCTGGGTCCCCATAATTTCCCACGTTACTTTGGTAAGAGTACTTTAAGTATAGGCAAAAACAATATAAAGGTAGGATCCCATACTTTTCAATACTACACGATTTTTATACCCGATACTCAAAATGAGTATAGATTTTTGCGATAAGTTTCCGACCCCACAAAGTATACATATATCTTCTTGATCAGCATCAATAGCCGAGTCGATCGAGACATGTCTGACTGTCCGTCCCGATGAGACTATAATAGCCAGAGCGATCAAAAGCCAGTTCGAGGGGATAACGACATATCTCTGATCAGATTTTAACATCGTATTATCGTACAGAAACTGATTTGAAAGAATTGGAAGCATTATCTCAGCGATTCACAATTTAAAAGAAACTTTGTTTAGGGAACTTTCCAAAAAGTAAAGGTTATGGCTCAATCGAACGAGATATAAAGCAGAGGCGGGCAATTTTGATTGAAATACATATCTAAGAATAAAGTGGATTTCTAAGCAATTTTTATTCCTGAAAAATACTTTTCATACTAAGGAATTAACTCCACCAACCGTAAAAAAGGATAAGATTTAGTATTTTCTTTTATTTTCGTTTAGATATTTCGTATTATTTTTATTTTGTCCGTGCAAATAACAATATTATTTGTATTTATTCTAACATTTGTTTCGTATTCGGTTCGGCTTCCTGCATTTGTTCGTTTGAGGCAACAGAGATATGTATGTACTCGGATGCATTGCATTGCTATATTACTAGATGTATGTACATATATCTGTTGATTCATTGCATCGAATGATATAAAATTTTATACGACATTATTCGTTATTGTTTTCGTTGATATTCCATATATAGTATGTATGTACTGTTCGTGTGTGGGTGTTTGTCTACTTGAACGCAAAAAATCATCTAAAAATTTTGATTATTCGTATTTGGTTTCATATCTGTAATCTATATATAGGTATAGTTTAGGTATATGTATATTATATATTTGTATGCTATGCTAAAATCGTTTTGTGTGTGAAGATTATGGATATGGATACACTTGAATGTATCTCGTATCCATAAAATGCATACACTTTAGTAGTACTGCAATATCGATTATTGTTTGCTGTGTTGTTGGTTAAAATCGGTGTATAAAATTTGTGGTATCTTGATTTATTTACTTCTACTGCTTGCTTGCTTGAACAACAAATCCTTGGCTTCAAATCCATTCTCTCAAATCAACAAATACACAGCGCGCTTCCCTTCAGTTCCGAGTACAATACGGTAATTCAATGTTCATCCAAAACTTATGTGTATAAAAAATATGTTTCATGCTAAGGCAACGTTCAACATCGATATGGGATAGTTTTAGTTTTAGTTTAATCCGTATTTCGTATTTGTATTCGGTATTTGGTAAAGGGCTTTTTCGGATCTTTGTTTCCAACTCGATTTCTATCAGGACCTCGAGTGGCTTTCTTTTCTTGTAAAGGTTTCTCTATAAAGCGATCGTATGATATGTGTGGGTGCTAGAGAGATAGTAGTAGAGTCTCAGGTGATGATTTAGGTTTAGGGTTGGATAATCTCTGACAATGCCAGCACTGAGAAAACGTGTTGAGTAAGAGGATACTTTGAACTTCTGATGACGGTAAATGGTGCTCTATGAAAGGTATTGTTGGTTTGGTGAACAGTTACAGAGTTACTGAGTAGTTAGTAAGCTGCAGGGATGTGGTGGCAGTCCTGAAACCCAGGGTTGGCTAACTAATCGAGTTTTCTATAGAGTTTTCTTATTTGATATTTGGTAAGTGATATCTATGCTATATCCGTGGTGTGAGGTATTTTAAGATCTAGGCTGTGTTGGTTTAAGTTTTGGTTAGTTTAGCGCCAGACTGTTTATGTCTTCATATCATCTCTGCTTCTGCTTCTAGGTATCTGCATCAGGTGCGCCATCTAAGTAGTTAGCTGCTATATCTTTGGTATCTCTGACAATCATCGTCCCAATTCGCTGAGAATGCCCCCACGCGTTCCCTCAGCCCACGGCTCCCATGGTCGAGACGCAGCTGGTGCTGATCAGGGGCTCCCTTGAGTTGACCGACGTATTGGATGGATCAATGGACAGCGTGAACGTGGACGTCTCCACCGAATCATGCTGGCTCTGGGTCTGCTCGTGTCGACGCGGTTTCACCAATTGGGCGGGATCCTTGTGCTGTACTCCGCCCTCGGCAGTGGCTGCCGGATAGCTGGACACACGCTTAAGGGTCTGGCAAAGAAAAGCCCATCAATTATGGGCTTCTAGGATCCATAGGCAAATACAAACCTTATCGTTCAATAGCTCTGCAGCGGCCGTGGCAGCTGCCACCGATTCTGTGACCGGACAAATGTTCTTGCTGGAGGAGAACTTTTTGCGCTTGCGCTTCAGCGCAGCAATGGCAGTTAGACCTGTAGGAGAAACATGTAGCGAGGGAGGGGTATGCTTGCGATCTAAAGGTTCACCCACCGCTGGTTGTGTGAAAGAAGTGTGAGCCCACTCCCACGTGCGTGGGTGTTGGATTGATCGAGGCAGCGGGTGTTGGTGTAGGCGTGGCTGCTGCCGCTGGCGGAGTGGACTCTCCATGGTAGCCGTAGCCATGCTGAGGTGAGTTCTGGGCATATGTGACCCGCAACTGGCCATGCACTGGTGTGGTATTGTTTGAGTTATTGCACACAGAATCCTCCGACTTGGAGCGTCCCAGCATCTTGCTCACGTTGCCCACCTTGGCGGCTTCTATGAGGGTTCCTGGAAAAACATTTCGGCCATTAATGAACTGCTCTAATATCGAAGATAAGGTTCCCAATACCCCATCGCTTCTTGTGTCCGGCTATGCGCTTGTTGTACGGCTTCAATGCGGACTTATTGTACTTGGTGAC